AGTAGAGTTCATGGCTATGGGTTTAGTAGAGTTCATGGCTATGGATACATGGCTTTATGGCTTTGCAGAACTGCTATCCTGACCCCAGCCTCTCCACCCAGAGAAGGGGCAGGGAGTGACATCGTGAGATGATGTGTGACACTGTGACATCACTTCCAGTTTGTACCTGGAAAGGACACCACGGCTCTCTAGGAATCTCACCTTTCTATGATAAAAGCAACCACATAGAGATGAACAAATTCCTATAGTTCCATGAAATCACTTCTGGGTACAAACTGTAAGTAACATCACAATGCCTTGCGCCATCGTGCAACGACGCGCACTGCCCACCAAAGGGTCCCACGGATTGCCGGCCTAGAATATGGCTGATTAATATGTGTTGACTCCCACAAATCTGGGCCAATAACTGTTGGCCTTTCTCCAGTGCAATGCGCCTTCAACACCAGGAACCCTTCCTTTAGCAGAAGAGCCTCTTGTGCCTGACAAAGATAGGGTTGCCAACCCCCCCAATGGGAGCAGGGTTTCCCCAGATTTTCGGGGGCCCAATCCGTCGCCAGCCAGTGGGGGAGCCCCACCCTAAAGAGCCCTGCCATGCCCAATGTGCCCGGCGTGATGACATCACCTGGAGGTGTGGGGGATGCTCTAGCATTTGGCTAAAAACTCTGTGGTGACCATAGAGATTTTAGCCAAATGCTAGAGTGCCCCCTGTGCAACGTGCCCAGTGTAATGACGTCACTTCTGGGTGACTTCATTGCGGCACCAAGACGAAGACGGCGGGACCAAGTCAGGAGTCACCTGCCAGCAGACAGGCAAGACCTGGCAACCCTAGACAAATAAACCATTGTTAGCTTGGATCTGGCATATCTCTTCCATTAAGTCAGGACTCAAAATCTGGACTCAGCACACACACCAACCCTTCCCTACCACCCCAAATGTCATATATATTTTTTTAGTGCAGCAAACCTTCAAAACACATCCTCTTCCAAAATCAGATTTCAAAAGATTCTGTGTAGCAAAAGTTCACATTAAAACTGGTCTTTTATAATCATTGACGGGTAAGGTAAAAATAAAGAGTCTAGGTCTGAAGACGGTAGAAGCAAAGACCTGTCATGGAGGACTAGTCGCCAACACGTGAAACTCCCGATCAAAAAGCTGCCTGCCGCCACGCCGAACGGTATGGCAAAGGCCACTCACATTTTACAATCTCAAATATCATTTCAAGTAATACCCCAACAATGCTAAAGAAAGCAGGAGAAGGGGAAGACGTTCCACTGTGGTTGCAGAAGAAATTCATGGGGGAGGGGGGATGAGTGTTGAAACCAGTTTCATTTTCCAAAGGTGCTTTGCCTAAAATGTGAATACCTGGAGAATGAGAGACACATTGGGCGGTAGGGCCATAGCTCAGTGCTAGAACACGGATATTGCCTACAGAAACGCCTTTGGGCTCCATTTCTAGGGTTGCCAACTCCAGACTGGGAAATTCCTGGAGAAGTGAGCGTAGCACCTGGAGAAGGTGGAGTTTGGGAAAGGTGTCAGTGGAGATGTGATCAATGTTCCCTCTAAGCCGTGGAGTCTTGTGAGCAAAAATTCTACTTTGTGAGCTACTGGCATTAAAGTTGTGAGCGAGCAATTTGGCGACTGCATAAATTGGTTTGCTCTGGAGCCATCCCTTCCTGAGCTAAGACAAAAAGGTGTGAGCTGGAGTCTAAAAAACTGTGAGCTAGCTCACACTAACTCAGCTTAGAGGGAACAGTGGATGCGATCTAGGGTTGCTAACTCCAGGCTGGAAAGTTCCTGGAAATTTGTGGGGGGAGCCCAGTGAGGCAGGTAGGGTTACCAGGTACTGGGTGCTGATCTCCTGGGATGACAACTGATCTCCAGGTGACAGAGATCAGTTCACCTGGAGAAAAATGGCCGCTTTGGAAGTTCACCTGGGAGAAAAAGGCTGCTCTAGGGCATTATACCCCATTGAAGCCCCTCCCCTCCCCAAACCCCACCCTCCTCAGGCTCTACCCCACAGAATCTCCAGGTATTTCCCAACCCAGAGCTGGCAACCCTACAGGCAGGGGTTGGGGAGGGACCTCAGTAGGCTCTAATGCCACAGAGTCCACACTCCAAAGCAGCCATTTCCTTCAGGGGAACGGATGTCTGTCATCTGGAGATCAGTTGTGATTCTGGGAGATCTCCGGGCTCTGTCTGGAAATTGGTAACCCTACTCCTCTTCAGGCCCGTAGCCAAGATTGTTTTTTAGTCAGGGGGCATTTAAATATCTTAGGGGGCACTAGCTAATCAAATTAAAGGAATACCCAGCTCCTTCCCCGCATCTGCCACCCCTTGGGGCCCCTGGGCTGGATGGGAAGTCGTGGGGCCTTTCCAGTAAGACAGGGGGCCTAGCCCCAAGATGCCCCCTCTGTAGCTATGGGCCCGCTCCTCTTTCGGACAGCCAGTCAGTCAATTTCAAAGAGATTTCTCTTTTGCCGGGAGATGGCTTTCAATCTTGGGAAAACCCCTGCTGGTCGGAATAATTTTAGGTGGACCAATGGATGGATTTGGCGTAAGGCAAAATCAGAGCTTGGTGGAAACCTGGTGGCTTGAGCGAACTGGCTTCTGTTTACGGCACTGGTGCCACGAGAAAGAGGTTGCCGGGGACACACAGACCGAGAGCTCAGCCCACCCCTCAACCCTCCCATGGATGCAACTGCAGGTAGGCTGCGGATTGGTACATGGCTCGAGAGACGCCTCTTCGCTCTCTCCTTTGCTTTGGCTGGCCTTGAGACTCATCGCTGTGGACCACTGGGTTGCCAGCCTCCAGGTGGGGCCTGGAAATCTCCCAGAATTACAACCGATCTCTGGACTACAAAGATCAGTTCCCCCGGGAGATGATAGCTGTTTTAGATGGTGGACATATGGCATTGTATCTCCACAGAGCTCCCTTCTCTCCCCAAACTCCACCTCCCCCAGGCTCTGTCCTCTAATCTCCAGGGATTTCCCAGCCCACAGTTGGCAACCCAATTGGAACATCCGTTACGGTCAATGGGACGACTGTGAGCACCACCCATATTCTCACCCAGCCACCCAACTCTTCTACATACCAGTTACTGATGCCAATTTATTTCAAGTCTAACAGACCAGAGGACTCTATTAAGCATTATCTCAATCTCCTCTTATACATACATGCTCCCCCTACTGGTGGGGGGGTGGGATCTATATCATATGTGTGCAAATACGCTACGCTTCTGCAAACGTACAGACCCTATTTCGAACGGAATCGATAAATCAACAACACCCCTCCCTCCCCAGTCCCTAGATAACGCTTTTAAACAGTGATCGCATAAAGAATATATGTTGCTTTTTTGTTTTTAAAGGAAGACATTGCTAGATTATGCAAGGCTAGATTGCATTCAAGAATGCACGAAGCAAGCCCTTTCTAAAACCCTTTTGGAAGAGAGAGAGTGAGAGAGATACGTGGCTTAACGGGGTAAAAAAAGTCACCCCATCTGAGTGTTATTGGCTCATTCTCTTTTTCCTTCCTTCTCTCGCACTGCTAAGCATGTATGCTTTGTAGAGCAGGGGACTATCTGCTTGCGGTAGTATAACTCGAGTCTCATGCAGTAAGAAAAGAATTTACTGCATTCATCTATAATTCTCAACAGCTATAAAGCTTTGCTTTGTCGCAGACATTCTATCAGGCATTGAGTCGTAAATGCTGTATTTTATTTATTTATTTTTTAAAAAAAACCTTTCCAGAATAAGCCCGGTGCTTTTATATTGAATCCCGCTCCCATGAAAATATTATCTCCCCCCCCCCCATCATGGCAAAAGGCATAGTTTACTGATCAGTTTTGCCAAAGGGGACATGACAATTTGGGGCAGGTTGCGAGGGGGGGAAGGGAACGGGATTGTTTCACCTTGAAACTCTGCAACACGCGTTCAAGATTGCAGGCACAGGGCGATCATCCAGCTGTGTCTACGGCTGGCGATCTATTGTTACGGCTGACACATCTGCCTGATTAGTATTCTGTGCCTAATGTCGGTACAGAGGATGCCGGAGTCGAAAGGACAGCACTGCAGTAATTATAGGTAAGACTGCAGCGGTCGAAACCTGGGGTGTTTCTCGGGATTTCACTACACAGACCACAGCTGTCCAAGCCAAGGGACACTCTAACCGCACCGGCAAACCTGCCAAAAGCCAGCTCTGTAGAAACGGAAAGACTTCTAATAAATTCCTGTCCCATCTATACCGGCTTGTATCTTCCCACTCTGTTCGGCCAAGTATGAAGCCTTCCTCCAGCCTCTGATGGACGAAGCTCCAAAAAGTCTCCTTGGACCAGAGGAGGCTTCATATTTGACCAGGGGATGCCTCCACGGTTTGGCAACAATTTACTCTCCGAACAAACGTCACCATTTCCCGCTGTGGCATATCAATAGATGTGGTGTATCATAGGAGGGGAGAACTTTGGTTTAGACTGACTGAATATCTACTTCCCCAACTGCATAGGTTTTACTTTGACCACCTTGTTTTTGAAAAGACCCCGAAAAACAACATGATCGGCATTATGGACCATAGGTTTAGTTACCTCCACCCCTGTCTCTTTTTCCTGACCTTCCTTGATAGTGACTGGTCTTGCCACTTGACTCTGAGAATCTTTTGTTTGTCTCCCTCTCACTCCTGTACGAAAACAGCCGATTAATCGGCCGTTCGAGATACTGAACTGCCAATTAACATTTGTTGGTGAAGTTACAGCATTAAAAGAAAACCATGTGGGAGGTTCTTCCTCCCTATTTTCTTTCTTTCTCTCTCTTTTCTTTTTGATGACTATTTCAAAAAACACTTTCACCCCCGTGTTCGGAGGGAAATACCCCCTTTCCAGAGCATCCTTTGCCTCGTTCCGTACGGCCAGCGCAAGCAGCGGAGATCTTTCCTCTACTTTCCCTGCAGCTCAGTGCAACACTTTTTGTGTGTGTGTGTTAAAAAAATATACGCATGTTTGCATGACCCTTCAGACCGCGGTCACATGATCGGGGTTCTCTTGGATTTCTATGCACTCAATCTCTTCCCGCTCCTTCCGTTTGGCCCGTTTTTTTTTCTTGTGGTGCTTTTTGGAAGGTGGGAAAAATGTTAGAAAGACGGGCAAAATAACAAAACAGTGCAGGAGTGTGCAACTGCCGGTGAGCAGCAAGCATTTGAACAGTGTGAAGGTCAAGTTCGAAGGCACGAAAAGGAGGGGGACCAACCCGATAAGAAAAGAAGTCACGTTCTGCAAAATGGCCGTCCCGTGTTCCTGCAGTGCGTTTTTGATGCACTGGGTCCGGGTGTGCTCCGTCGCCAGTACGAATGTGTAAAGCAGGGGCGCACAGTGATCTATGGAGAAATTGAGAGTGTAAATAAGGCACAAGATAGAAACGCAATCCATGTCGACGTTCCATAAAGTCATCAGGCCCAGGACACCCAGCTCTATGGAGGTGACCGTGAGAATCAACCAGAAGTTCCCCAGAGGATGGATGACCAGGAAGAAAGTCAGCAGCAGCACCAGCAAGATGCCGAAACCTGAAATCAAGACGGGCATCGTCACTGACAGACTATACTGGTCCATGAAGACGAAGGTTGGGTTGAACACAATGAACTTGATGCTCTGCTTCAGAGACAGGGGCCTCAGCCTCTCCAACAACTCTATCACGTCCCTCTGGGTTTTTTCACTCGTCCTAGCCACGAGGTACATGCGGGACGCAATGATGTTGCTCTCGTCGCCGGCCTTGGAGAAGATGATGTCGTTTTTGAAGTGCTGGAATTCCGGCTTCCTCAAGAAGGAGTTCTGGAGGATGCTGAGGAAGTCGCTCTTGTTGGTGGCGCTGACGTTCCCGGCTCTCAGATACTGGTAATATTGCTGAAGCCAGGACAACGTGTTGAAACCTTCGCTGAGTTTCTTTAAGTCTTCTTGCACCGTGCCGTTCCAGTATTCCAGGGGCTCGTAGATGTAGAAGCCAATCACCGGGCTGTAGTTGCTGAAGTACTTCTGCTGGATGACTGCGTAGGAGACACTTGGCGAATCGCTGGAGAGGAGGTTGATAATGTTGGCCCCGTCGCTGATCTGCAAGCAGCCCATGAACGAGAAAGAGGCGTAGATGAGATACAGGATCACCACAAATGGCTTGACGTAGATGTTAGTAATCCACTCGTTGTAGTGCTCCCGCAGGAAGTGTTGGATGAAATGGTTCTGGTAAGGGTCGGTCTCCTGATGAGAAGTGTGCTGGTGGCCGTCGCTCATCATGGTCTGGAACCAAACGGGCTTCCTCTCCAGATATTCCGCCGAGGGGATCTTACAGCAGAAGATGCTGTGGTACCGGTTCTGCTCCAACTGCCCGGCAAAGACCAGGCACGAGCCGAAGAAGGAGAAGATGTA